CGAGCGCCGCGGGGTGGCCGCCTGCCGTGGGCGCTGCGCTGTGCGCCCCTGCTGGCCGGGCTCGGAACGCTCAGGCGCGCCCCCGGCCCGCCCGCGACCTCGGTGGTCACCCTCTGGCCATCCAAACCGCTGTGGCATTTTTGCTGGGTGGTTTTTGTTTTTGTTTTTGGCGTAACCAGGGTTTGAGCTCAGGCCATTGCGCTTGCCGGGGAAGCGCTTATTCCACTGAACCATCTCCACGGCCCCTTTGCTCTTGTTTTTTGTTGATCTTTTTATGATAATATTTTTATTGTGTGAAGTGACAGAAAAAGAAGAGATGGCGATTCGTCCTCTTGCCCTGCAGGCGCCGCTGCCCTCCGCTGGCCCCAGGACCCTGAGCCCGCGCGTGTCTGCCCTGGGCTGTGCACTGAGCCTAGCACCGGAGTCCGCTGGGCACGTTCCCAGCGGTGAGTCCTCTCGCGCGCCTGCTCCCTGGCCGCGTGCGTGCTCCCTGCTGTTCTCCCATTTCCTTTTCACAGCAACTAGGGAGTCCCAGCGCTGTCAGCCTTACATTTCACAGATGAAATAAACGAGCTAAAGTAACTTCCCCAAGGTCACTCAGCAACTGGACCCTGGAGCCAGAGGCCGCCTGACCACACGAGGGGGTGTGACCACCATCCTCTTGCCTCTAAGACAAGTCCCACAGCTTCCATTCTTTGGCCTTTACTTGCGCCTAAAGATCCCTAAGTGGTATTCATACCCTCTCAGATCTAGTCTCCCTGCTCTGCACGCCTGTCAGCCACTCCACTGCAGCTGCTAGTTCTGAGGCGTAGGAGCTGCTCATGCTGCCCTCCTCGCTTAACTTGGCTCCTCTCTTCTCCGGGTGTCTTCCTGATACTCTTGAACAGGCCTAAATCTTTTACCACTAATATCCCCTCCCCACTTGCCACCGGGCTCCCCCAACCTGCCCAGCCCCTAACCAAAGGAGCTGTGAGGGGCCAGGGAGATGGCTCAGTAGGATAAGCACTTGACTGGCAAACGCAAGGATCTGAGTTCAATCCCTGGTTCCGCAAAAAAAAAAAAAAAAAAAAAAAAAAAGTAGTGACAGACACCGTAGTCCCTGGTTCAAAAAGTGACTGCATTACAGATAGTGAGCAGGAGCATGGCTCCATTCTGTGCTGCATTCCTGAGCTCGGGACAAGCCCAGGGCTGGCCCAAGAGAGTGCCCAGTTATGAATGGTCAGTGCAGGTGTCTCTTAAGCCTTATGGTACCCTGCATAATTACTTCAAGTATGCAGTCTGTCTGTAAACTGCCCCCTCTGTAGAATATGGCTATAGGGAAAAAACGGATATGGAAAAGGGATGCTGGAGTGCAGCTGGGAGCATCTTTTTTTTGCGGAACCCGGGATTGAACTCAGATTGTTGCATTTGCCAGTCAAGTGCTTATCCTACTGAGCCATCTCCCTGGCCCAAGGGAGCATCTGTTATGACACTAGGTCTCCACTGTCTTTTCACAGATAGGAACAACTTGTACACTTGAACCCAGCTGGCAACCTTTTTCCTCTCCCTGGAAACCAGGCTGGGTGAAGGGCGCCTCCCTGTGGCCTCACAGCCCATTCCCAACAGCCTTTTGCAACGATCAATCACTCATCACACAGTATTACCATAAACTGGGCCAGGTTCATCTTTGCATTCCCTTTGGAAACTGGGCACAGTTGTCCCAAAGTGCTTGCAGAAGAAAAGGAAAGAAAGGATGATAGGAGCAGTCAAGACCAAAAGGAAGATCTGAGTGCCCTCGTGAAGGGTGACCATGGTCCAGATATACTCCCTACCCCCTCAGACACCAGGTCAGGATACTGGGCAGGACTAGCTTTTGTGGTTGGGGTTGTGGGGAAGGGAATAAACCCTAGGCTGGAAAGGTGTGGAATACCCACAGCAGGAGTCCACCAGCCCAGGCTACAGTCTCCAGGGCAACTGGAAGTCCTCAGGCTCCAGTGGGCTGCAGTGAGTTGCTTCCACATTTCTGAGGTGCTTGCGTGCAAGGAACAACGCAAGCTGGCGTTGCCGCCGTGTGCTCAGGCCCTGGCCCACAAGCCAGGGGAAGGTGGGCCCATGTGGCCCCCAGGCCTGCTCCTGGCAGCGCTCGCGGTAAGAGTGCAGCATCGCAAGGCACCACTCATCATCCACACGGTAGCGTGTATAGAAGGCAGCCTCCTGTGCCAGGCTGTTAGAGCGCAGCCAACGGGTCACAACAACACGTCCCTCGTGTGCCATCAAGACCGGATACCGGTGCTGCAGTAGGCGCAACAGCAGTTCATTGCCACGGTTACCCTCCACATCTCCAGGGGGCAGGGTAGTCAGGTGGCTCGAGGTACTGACCACATCATCCTGGGTGCGCCGGAGCAGTAGCACTGGCCCAGGATAGCAGCACAGCTGTTCGGCGACATTGAGATTGAAATGCTGCCTCACAGTACGTACCACCAGTCCCTTCCAGCTATGGGGCATAACCTTCAGTGCTAATGGCACAAGGTCATCAAAGGTGGCATCTAGCACCAGTGCTCCCAGCTCTGGGTAAGTCATGGTAGCCCAGGTTGCTGTAAAGCCTCCAATGGACCAGCCGTAGACCACCACTTGTGCAGGTGGGAATTGCAAGCGGTGCAGGGCGTACTTGACCACTACATCCATGGCGTTGGCATCATGCTGTGGAAATGGAGCACCTGTGCTGCCCCCAAAACCTGGGTGGTTCCAGCCTAGCACTGAGTAGCCAGCTTCAAGTGGTGCAGACAGGCAGCCCATCTCATAGAAGCCAGCATTGCCTTCGCAGCAAATGACTAGATGCAGGCCACGACCGTGGCTGCCAGGGTTCTGGCGGCGATCCATGAACATGGTGTCAATCTCGTTGCCATCGCAGGCCACCAGCTTGGCACGCCGGCCGTGGTAGCGCTCCACAAGGCGCTCTTGGCCCTGCTGCAGTAGTGGTAGCAGTGCTCGGGACATCAGGAACATGGAGCCAGGGTACACGAGCCAGCGTCCTAGTGAGTGGGCCAGGGCATAGCTGGTAAGCTGGCTGGGCAACTCTCGGATCTGCTGCAGGAGGCACTGCGCCTGGCTGCGAGCCCGGCGCAGTGGCCGCCCCGGTGCGTCCCCTCCCAGCGCTGCATCCCGAAGCAACCACACACCTGCAGCAGCTGCTGTGCATGTCAGTGCCCGATGACCGCTGCCACCCCCACCAGCAGAGCACACATCATCCCAGCGGAAGTCCACAGGCCAGCTGCGGAAGTTGTAGGTATAGTTGGCTGTCAGGTAGATCTTGAACACATGCACTAATGCCTTCACAAAACAGATGACACACATGGGCACAGTGAGGCTTCGTGCTTTGCTGCACTAGTCCTGAGACCCAGTCAAGGGACTGTGGGATGGCAGGAGGCCCAGGGCCTGCCCAGCTGCAGAAAAGAATGCTACACAGGGCTGTCTTGGGGTGTGCGGTAATGGCCTTTGTGACCTGGCTTCCAAAGCCAGTGGGAGGCTGTGTCTGTCTGGCACCACCCAGCTTTGTGAGTCACTGTTGCTGGGGGAAGAGATGACACTAGGGTGATGGGTGCACAAAGAGTTCCAAGGTACAGTGGTCCTCAAAGTTTGCCCAGCCAAGCACTGACTTAGGCTTCTACAGCAGTCACACCTTCCCCAAGCTACACCTTGAGCCACTCCCACCTCCCTCTTAACTGAAGATGGGTACCAGAGAAGCCAGAAACGGACAGCCTTTGCCTCTTCTTGGCAGATTCTGGAATCTAGCTAGGAAGAAAACAAGATTTTGGATACCCGAGCCAAGTTTGCACTGGGTACCCACCTTGGGGTCCTTGGGTTTCCATCTCCCCAGGAGGGCTGGTGTCTGAATGAGGCAGCTGCTCGAGCAAGGAGGTAGTCTGTTCATGGCCTGCAGCTCAGCTCTCTGCCCCACTTCCTGGGAAACTGGGCTCGCACGCTGTGGAAACCCCCCTCCCTCACCTTTTCTGGATCCTCTTTTCACTGGCCCTAAAAATTGCAATGACCTTCTCCAGGTGGGGCCTGCCTGATGGGGGTTCCTCTTTTCCAGCCCTTGGTTGAATCCCCTCAAGCCACCACACAAGTTGTCCCTTCCCCTATTTTAGAGGACTCTGACGGGTTCCTCTTTTTCTTCTGTACTGGAGAAAACCAGCACACCTGAGGGAGCAGAGCTAAGGCAGGGTCGGTTGGAATGCCTGATCCAGGATATGCAGGCAGCAGTCCTGGGATGAGGGCAAGTTCAAGCCCATCCTGGACAACTGAGTCTTTGTCTCAATTTTTTTTTTTTTTTTTTTTCAGAACCGGGGATTGAACTCAGGCCCTTGCACTTGCCAGGCAAGCACTTATTCTACTGAGCCATCTCCCCAGCCCTCATTTCTGTTTTCTTGTTCCAGCTCCACACAGATGCTACTTGGCCCAAATACTGTAGTCCTTGCAGACTTTGGAATCAGCTGATGGGTGGATGGATGGACAGGGATCACTGGACAAAGTGATTTGGGGGCTGACTGCCCCCCACATCTGGTGGTTCAGATAAAATGCCGAATACCCAGTAAGGCCGAGTTTCAGAGAAACAGCGAATACTTTTTGACTGTAAGTATGTCCCAAATATTGCACGGTACATGCTTAGACGATTGGTTCTCCTTTCACTATAGTGTGGAAGTGCACCCAAGCAAACACTCTGCCTTTACTTTCAGTTCAGCATTCACTAAATTACATGAGAGACAACACTATTATAAAACAGGCCTTGTGTTAGATGGTTGTTTTTTGGGTTTTTTTTTTCTGAACCAGGGTTTGAACTCAGACCCTTGTGCTTATTCCACTGAGCCTTCTCCCAGGCCCCTGTCACCTGATGTGTTATGGAATGTTTAAGGATGATCTAGAGGTGAGGAGCATTAACTGTATTTTTTACTTATAATATTTACAACTCACTCTGGGCTTATCGAGACATAATGCCATCAATAAGCCAAGGTGTACTGTACAATATTTTTTTGTCCTCTCTGGCTCTCTCGCTTCCTTGCTGCTTCCTGGCTGCTGTGAGGGGAGCAGCTTCCCTCGCCTCTATTCTTCTGCTAGTATGTTTCTGCCTTGCCACAGGCCTAAAGCACCAAAGTCAGCCCCCATGGACCAGAGCCTATAAACTGTGAACCAAAATGAACCTTTCTCCAAATGGACTTTCTCAGGTCTTTGTCAGTGACAGGCAATGGTGGCGGGGGAGAAAGCCTTCCAGGGCCTTCCAGGAACCTCTCATAGGCATTGCGTATGGCTATAGGTCCAAGGGTGCCAGGCACTTTGTGTGACCATAGGAGCAATCCTAACCGGAAGCAGAGGAGCTGGGTACGGGGTCCAAGTCCCTGCCTCCTTTGCTCAGATCTAGGCAGTGGGTAGGAAGGGACCCTTGAGGCCTGCCACCCCTGATGTAGACCCTGCAAGGACAGTGGCCTCAGCACCAGTGGCAGATGTCCCGGAAGACTGTCCACATAGTAAGTTGGAAGTGCTACATTTGGTTGTGATTCCCAGGGAAAACTTCCACTTAGAGCTGTCTTGTCCTACAGGGAGCAGTCTCCCAGCTTGCTCTGCTCTCAGAGCTGTTTGAAAATGGAGACTTTTCTTCAACCAGGACCACCTGCCCTTAGCCTGCCCCTGTACCAAAAGAAAAGGGGAAAAACCAGAGACCGGATTCTAGGGGACATAGGTCAGTGAGGTGGAACCATAGTCCCCAGGAGCTCCGTGCCTTAGCCTGTGTCTGGCCTGGCTCTTGACCCCACCAGCCCAAGATAGCCCAAGTGCCCCAAAACCACCAGCTCTTGAGAGATAGGAAAACATGTGACAGGATGGGAGCTGTCCCTTCTCCAGAAAGCCCCCCAGATTGGACCAGCTGCAGCAGTGACCTCTTGTGCCCCACTCCTTTGCTCGGGAAAAGGCAACAGAGCTGGGGGGACTCTGTGACCCTGCTTATCAGCTCTTAGAGGAATCCCTCTCCCCCACCTCCAGACAACATCAGAGCATGCACCCCACCCCCATGGGGCCTTCGCTTCTGGACCTACCCCTCCCCCACTGCAGCAATGCTTCCTCCCTGGCCAGTTCTGTTTGCCTCCCTGGAGGCCCTTGATTTATGCTGCTGAGCAGGCAAAGCCAACCTTGGAGAAGGAAGGAAAGGAGAGAGAGAAAATCAGCCCTAGAGGCCAGAGGGGCTGGAGCCAGTATCAGAGCCCCTGGCAGAGTATGTCCAGTGCCTTGCAAGTGACCACAGCAGCCCCAGGCCCAGGGAGCAGTGCCCTGGCCTTGGGAAAGCTAAAGCTGCTCAGCAGGAGGGGGAGCTGAGTCTGCACAAACGCCTCTGCTCAGGAAATGGGGTTCAGGGAAGGTGGGGGTGGTTTGAAGCCCAAGGACAGGAGGGGACACTTCCTGGCGGATGCAGGGTCAGGAGAAGGGGCGGAAATGGCCAAGACAGCTGCTGAACATCTGGAGTCACAGAGAATTAATTACACAGCGCCCTGGAGGACAGTGGGTTGGTGGGGGAGCCCTCTCCTTCCTGGTTCCCTGCAGAGCCTGTCCTTTGTCCCCTCTGTCCTACTCAGGATGAAGGACCTGCTGAGTAGCCTCTCCCAAAAGGACCCCTGTGTTCAGCTTCTGTGCCTGGTGCTTTCCCTGCTGCCCTCCAATGGGAACAGGCCAGTGTCCCTCCCATCTTGGTGGCGCTGTGTACTACTGGGTGGAAAAGGATCAGCCACACTGTTCACTGTCACAGGGTAGGGTCTGGGTGGGACTGAAAGCCCTGCAGGCCTATCTGATGGGAGCCAGATGTGCTGGGCTGACCCCTCTCCAGGGCAGGAAACCCGCACCTTTCCTGAGAGGATGCTAGTGGGTGGACTGTCCCCACCCTGGGCTCTTCAGGCCAACACTTGTTCCTGGGATGGTCTCTGGGGTTCCAGACACATATACTTTGAAGGTTCACAGTGTGATCAGAGGCTAGTCTCTGCCCTGGTGTGGGAATCCCTCAGAGGAAGAATGTTATTTTTATCACTGCAATACTCAGGGGTGTGTGTGTGTGTGTGTGTGTGTGTGTGTGTGGTGTTTTTCTCTTGTACCTGGGATTGAACCCAAGGCCTTTCCACTGAATTATATCCCCAGCCCCATTTATTATTAATTTTTTTTTTATTTTGAGATATGGTTTTTTGAGACTGAGTATGATGGCGCACACCTGTAATCCCAGCTCTTAGGAGGCTATAAACAAGTGGATCACTACGAGTCCAATTTAGTAGTGAGACCCTGAACATCCTGTAGACCCTTCCCCAAAATACAAAAGAGAGAGAGAGAGAGAGAGAGATACAGCTTGAGCTCACTCTGTAAGCCAGTCTAGACTCAACCTATCAGCCATCCTCCTGCCTCAGCCTCAGTGTTGGGGTTAAAGGTGTACACCACCATGCCTGGCATCATTTGCTGCTTTTTTTTTTTTTTTTTAAATATTTATTTTTATTTATTACATTTATTGTGTGTGTGTGTGTGTGGCCAGCTCAGCCCACCAGGGGGTGGGGCTGGCTGGCATGTGGTGCTGGGGATCGAACCGCGGTCCCTGTGCTTTGCCAAGCTTGTTTCAAGTAGGTGCTTTAGACCACTGAGCCATCTCTCCAGCCCATCATTTGCTTTTAAAAACTGGACCTAGCTTTCTTTTTTCCGCCATGTATCTTGAGCCGCACTGCTGGCGGGTTGTGGCTGGACACTCTCAAGTTCACGCCCAAACGCCTGAAAGCCCTCCATAAGTGCTCAAGCTTCCCCATCTCCAAGTAGCTCTGCCCTGTGTGTCGTGCCCTGCCCACGGCCCTTGCCTCTATGTCCTTCTGCTATACATTAGGCTCCTAAAAGCATATTGCCTCAGCAAAGGCGTCTTGTCACTACCAGGAGATGTGGCCAAACTGCCTCTCCAGAAGTCTGCGTTGGCTCTGTCATCTGGAGCAACCTGCAGCAGCCTCCAGCCTGAACACTTGTCCATGTCAGTGTACGAATTTGTTAAGGGCCAGGTGTAGTGGCACACGCCTACAGTTCCAGCACACAGGAGGCAGAGCAGGATTGCTGCAAGTTCAAGGCCAGCATGAGCCACACAGTAAGTTCAAGGCTAGCCTGAACCATTGAACCACACAGTAAGACCCTGCCTAAAAACTCAAAACACCAAATTAGTTTTTTTGTTTGTTTTGGTGGAACTAGGGATTGAACTCAGGACCTTGCACTTGCCAGGCAAGTACTTATTCTACTGAGCCATCTCCCGGACCCCCAAATTAGTTTAATACTGACTAATCTTTTTTTTTTTTTTTTAACGGAACCAGGGATTGAACTCAGATCCTTGCGTTACGCCAGTCAAGTGCTTATCCTACTGAGCCATCTCCCTGGCCCCTCATACTGACTAATATTGACTGATGAACTAGCCAATCCTGGAAATCATTCAGCCCATTGAAAATACTGCCTCATCCACGTGGGACACACTTGTTCCCTCAGTGACCAGATAGAAACTATGTCCTGGACTTCAGTTGTTCTGGCTTTGGGAAGAAAAGAGAGAGCAAGCTGGCCCAGATGGGTGGGTGAGCGGGCGGGGAGAAGGACCCTGGACTCTTAGCCAATGGGCCATTTGGTCAGCATGGGACCCCTAAAAGCAGTGATGAGAGCTGGAAAAAGGCTTAGGGGTTCCCAGTCAGGGACACAGTCAGACTTTTGCCAAGATCCCTGGAGTGGACAGAAGTTGCCCACCATCCCTGTTTTCTCCAAGTTCTGGAATTTATAGAAAAAACTCCTTGGGGGGCAAGGAAAATAGGTCAGTTGAATAAGCACTTGCCTGGCAATTGCAAGGGCCTGAGTTCAATCCCCAGTTCCAGGGAAAAAAAGAAAGAAAGAAAGAAAAAACTCCTTGGGGTGGTGAGGTGTCCCTGGAGAGGTGAGCTATGAGCTTGGGCCCTTGTCCAGCATCCTCTCAGACCCTCTTCCCAGCCTGCAGCTCTGCCTGGGGCTCTGCTCCCCAGGACTGTGGATTGCAGGGTGCTATGTAGCCCCAGTGGCCCAATCAACAAAGAGCAAGAAAGCAGTGTGTCGGAGTAGCTCAGTCAAGCAAGGAGCCTTCCTGGAGCTGAGCCTGCCCTATGTGCCTTGGCCCCTGCCTTC